TTCCTTTTAAGATGGGTTTATTTCTTGGTTCTTTAATAGAGATAATATCTGGGATTGTTTTAAGAATAATTTATTTTAATCTAATATATAAAAGGTATATCTATGCACTTTAAAAAAGTGTATGATATATATTATAGCATCAACTTTATGTAGAAAATATTCTGTAAAATTTGTGTGTGTGTATTTTTCATGGCTTGAACAATATAGTCAAAGGTGGTAATGTTAGTTTTAAAAATGTAATTTTTTTCTTCACTAAAAAGTATTCAAGTAGTTGAAATAAGAATTTTAAGGCATAGTTTTTCTATGATCTGATATCTTTTCCTGATCACACACAGCTTTAAATAACATTAAGATATCAGAACTAAAATTCCAAAATCCTTGGCATACATTTATATATGATAATATTTATTGAAATTATAGAACTCATACAACTCAAGTAACATTTAAAATTATCTTTCCTACATTTTTAAAAGCCTTAAGGATTATCATTTCAATGTAAGGATGATGAAATATTAGCTGGCATTTTGGAAATTTTATTGAAAACTAAAAGCTAATGGATAAAGAAGGGATTACCTTATGAAGAGTTATATTAACTAATATTAAAAATAAGATTCTGTGGTTTTTAGTTCATACAATCAAAAATTACACTTTTTATTTTATTTATTGTGAAATAGAAAAATTCACAAAGATTTATATTGGAGCTGAAATTTTCATACATGTACATAAAACTAAGAATAATAAAAGTAATAATATAATAATAATAATATTGAGATTTGGGGGGTCTAATCCCTTCTTTAAGAAAACTCCAAACACCTAATAGCTGATTATATTTTATATTAAGTTTCTTTACTTTATTTGTACTACTTTTAATGCATGATAAAACAGAAAAAATGTAATGATTATGTACTCATGTTAATCTGAAGTGGCAATTATTCTTTTTATCTTTTTAAAATCTTTAAGAAAAAAGACAAGTGGACAAAACACTCCTAGAGGCATGCAATAAGAAAGGGACATTCTTTTTTTTACTCAGCCCACCCTAACTCCTATAAATAGAGATATATATACAGTTTATGGAAACTAATGCATATAATAATCAAACAATGCCATCTTAGAATAAAAATAAACAGCAAAATATCTCCAAAATTATAAATGATGACAGACATTGTTCACACACTTTGTGTTTGTTACTGAAATCATTAATATGCTACAGTATGAAGTTTTGAAGATCAAGATCTTGGGAAATAATCTGAATGAGTCTCTGTAGTCAGAAGCATCTTGTACTAAAACAAAGTGGGAATAAAGGCAGACAGTTGATAATGTTGCTATTAAAGATAGACTTTTATTTTTTGATTCTGAAATACTGAGTTTATTGTTTACACTATGATACTTTAGGCCTCTACACTTCAATCTCATTTTTATATATTTGGATTGGCTCTAGGCCTTTACCATATGCTTAATTCCCTGTTATTAAAAAGGCCATGCTCATCTATCAGAAGGATTTTATCTTCCCAGCATGAAGATTCTAAAGTCAGCCCTAACCTGAATCATTTGAAATTGATCTATAAAACACTTAGTAAGAATGTATTCCTTTTCAAGATTTATTTCAGTAGTTCTCATTCTGCTGGCTCAATATATTTTCTTCTATGAGAGCACATTAAAATGACTTGTCTTGGTGCTACAAAAATATGTGAAAACACATTTAACTAGTGCGTCCAGACAAAACTGGAAACTCTCATATCAGAGAAAAGTCTCCAGTCTTCTCTGCTTTTCTCGAGGATGCCTGTTGAAAACACCTGTTGGGAAGTCACCCTGATACTTAATGATTAATTCTTGAGAAGCCATCATTGGCAGTTATTCTTGAAAATTAGTAATGATCTCTACTTGACTTTAGATTTCATACTAATACATGAAAAAATTCACATAGAAATTCCTCCTATGAAAAATACCTTTATAAATTTGTATAACAATCTATTTTCCTTATCTACCACAAACTCTGTGTTTCTATTCTTCAAAATTAGTTTTATAGCTATAAGGTAACTAAAATATTTAATTATAACTATGATGTATTATGATGCACACTATTGTGGATATTTTAGTCATTAATCTATTGTTAAAAGAAATTTTGTCTGAAAAACTTGAAAAAAACCTGAAATAAAATCTCTTCTCACAAACCATTATTTCTACACCAGCTTACATTGTTCTGTATCCATATTCAGTAAAAATACTCATGCCTAAAAAGAACCTGGAAACATTAATGTTAACATTTTAGACTTTGTGAAGTGTACAAAATACCTTGATACTTAAATCTTAACTTTAGCTATAATGTGAACCTTATAAATCATGGCATTCCTAAATTTCATATTACCATATTGTATCAGTGTATCTCAACACAATTATAAACTTCTTTTCATTCCTTTAATGAAATACGCTGTGCACCTTCTAAACAGCACACATATGCTGGAAAATAAAGATGAACCAGATCTCGTAGCAGTTAGTCCAAGTGCACTCTGTGGATTAAAATTCCTACCTTTAGAAACACATGTGAGATTAAAAGTGTGTTTCCTTAGCAGGCTGTATTACATATATACACTAATAAAAGCGCTTGAAACAAAAGTATGGGATACCTAAATGCTTTAATTCATGCATGCCACTTTAACACAATGTGTTTGCAGTACACTAGTTAAAAAAAAAGTCATTGTAGTAAATTTGTTCTGTTCTCCATAATTAATGATGAGATAAACTTGTTACATTTAAAAGACCATGAACACATTAAAAACTTACAAAGCATCCCGTGGAGGATTGCAAAAACTCAATAGAAAAAAAAAAGCCTATTTTAACAGTTTATGTTGAGGATATTTCTAGGACAGAAGCAGTATAGGAAATTGAGCTACTTTGAAAAAGTTTTCAAAGACTTAACATTAAAGCTTCTTTTGTGTTTTTATGTCACAGATTAAAATTCTAGAAGAAACGGAATGGTGAGGAAGTTTCTCCTTTGCTTTCTGCTTAAATTGGGTTTGTGTGTATGTGCATTTGCTTTGGCTTAAGTTTTACTGCTAATGGGAAGAATTATCATCATCATCATCATCATCATCATCCTTAAGCAATGACCAGCTTCAAGGACAACATGGTATAAATATAGCACAGGCATCACTGTCCCTCAAAACCTTTTGAATATGTTAATTCAAGGCAGTTTCTCACTAGTCTGCCCAAAGAATCAGGCTAGCTGAAAATTCTACTGCATCAACTTCATTTTTACTGGAAATTAAATGAAAATACAATTCATAGCACTTGGAAGGGGAAGATTAAGCATTAACCCTCTGTGAAATATTTATAATTGTCAATGGTAAAAATACATATGTGTATTTGTAAAATGACTATAGCAGATCTATAAATACATATTTTAACATATATCCCTTTAAAGATATACCAATTATCATTAATGCCACTTTTACAAACTCACAGAAAGACTTTCTTAGAAACCACATCATTTTAAGTGGGAAAATTATTTTCAGTTTTATATAGACCTCAAAAAATCATGAATCCTGATGTTCAGTAAATACTAGAAAAAGTGGAATTTAATACTACAATTGATACTTTAGTATTCAGTAGCATCAATTATGAGTCTGTTTTAAAAGGACATTATACTATTATAGGAAAATATGTTTTGCTAAGTATTAGTATTTGGTACACTTGTTAGGTTAGAAAGGATAATATTATGAAATTTTACTACTCCACTTTAACAATAAAAACATCACTGAGTCAAGTGTCGTTAAAAAGTTATTTGCTTTTCAAAGCATAAAATAATGAACAAATTATTTTCAATTGCCCCAAACTAATATTCCTCCTGAAGTGTCACTTTTAGTTAAGCTCAATTTTGAATTTCACATACTGCTCAACCAGAGTAATTTGTAGCAACACATAATGTTAATAAGCAAGAATTAAGTTTTTCTGCAACACAACTCAATAGTGGTTAAAAGAAACTAGACAATGACTAGACACAGTACAGGTATCTGCTATTGTTAGAATCTATGTACAGGCTGGTCAGTCATTTAGTTTTGTCATGTAATCAATAACTTTGAATCATACTAACATGTTAAATATAGATATAGCGAAAATACAGTGTATGCAAACTAAATACACACTGGAATTCTTTTTGGCACATTAAGTGCCTTCAATACAACTTTGCCTCCTGTTTTAAATACCACAAAATGAGCTTGTGACCCTCTGGTGTACTTTTTTCATTCCTCAGTGACTTCAAGAAAGAGATCAGGATAATCATGGGACAAATACAAACAAATACAAACTTTTCATAAGTGTTCATTAGCCAGAGTCTACATTTATTCAAACTTTTGAAAGTGCTTCAGAGTACATTTCAAAGTCTTCACCTCCACTAATGCACTATGCTGCAGTTTCAGCTGAAGAATAAATGAGACTGTCCTTTAAAATACTTGTTAAATATAAAACTGAGTTTTTGAGAGGTGAAAACTTAGTTCAAATTGATTCAAGCTCTGGAATTCTGACTGGTTGCTACTTTGTACTTTAATAAGTTAACTTCTTAAATATTTGGGCATATATTTCTTTCATTTTGGGCACCAAATTTTTAAGTGGAATTAAAATCTTTTTAAGGGGATGAGCTAAAACAATTGTTTTGCCTACTCTGGGAATCCTTTGTTATGGGAAGAAATCTAAAGCAACAAATAAAAATTAAGTAAAATAAACTATGAATACTGAATACTGCTAACATTTTTAAACCTATAAAAATAAATTTTAAAATGCAACAGAAGTAGGACATTTACATCTTGTAGATTTTAGACTATTTGAGGGGTTATATGTAGAGTATGATGTACACACAGTGTCAAAAGTCTAAATAAACCATTTTCATTTAATTTTTTCCCCTTTCACTGATGCTGGCAGTGTGGCTTGTCCTTGTACCAACGGTTTCAGGACAGCTCCAAAACCAGCAGTAAAGTGAAGTCCCAGTTATGCTAAAATTCTCCTACCTGAATTATGGACATCCGAGTGGCAGGGGTCTCGCTTGCATTAGTCCCTTGTCCGGTGAAGCTGGTGTGGCAGCCCGCGTGCCCCTGAGGGACAGTCAGGTTGTTGGAGGCTGGTTTGAGATACATCACCTCCGACCGGGGCGAGCTGAGGGGCAGGCGGGTCTGGTAGTCGAAGTACATAGGGGAGGTGGCCAGGGAGGGGCTGCTCACCACGTTCATGACGTTCATGGCATTCCGCTCCTCGACCTCACTCTGCACCAGCATGATATCATTTTTGTTGATCTTCTTCTTCTTGCCTTTGCCCCCTCCTAGCTGCGGGTGGCTGTACTCGGCGATGCGGCAGTTGTAAGTGCGGATCTCCTTGTTCTCGCGCTTGCACTTGACAGCGATGGTGATCATGGCCGCTAGGAGGATAATGGAAATAGTGCTCAGGGTCACAATGAGCGGCAACGACATGTCCCAGTGGTGCTGCTCGCCATTCACCCGGGGTACCCCCTCGGGCAGGGAGCCGCTCACCGAGCGGATGATGAGCTTGGCCACTGCAGACAGGGTGGGCTTGCCATGGTCGGTCACTTTTACCACCAGCTCCACTACCGGCGTTACGTCCTCCCAGAAGGGATGCAGCGTGCGGATCTCGCCGCTGGATGGATCAATCTCAAACAGGTGGTCGTCGTTGCCGTCCACGATCTCGTAGGTGAGGCGCCCGCTCTCGCCAAAGTCGCTGTCGAGCGCGCGCACGGTGCTTACCAGGTAGCCCAGGCCAGCATTACGGGGCACCTGCAGCTCAGCGGTGTCGTTCTGCAGCGTGGGAAGCACTATCACCGGCGCGTTGTCATTCACGTCCAGCACTGTCACCCTCACAGTGGCATTGCTCTCCAAGTGCGCGGGCGCGCCCGAGTCCTTAGCAAGCACCTTGAACTCAAAAGCCTTGGTCTGTTCGTAGTTAAAGGAGCGCAAGGCGTAGATGGCCCCATTAGTGGGGTTCACAGACACATAGGTGTAGATGGACACGTCGCCAATGTGAGAGGGCAGAATGGAATAGGATACAGTACCATTTTGGCCCAGATCGGGATCTTGGGCGAGCACTGAACCCAGGTACTCTCCTGGGATGTTGTTCTCATGCACCTGAAGCACGTAGAGTCCTTTGGTGAACCGAGGCGGGTTGTCGTTCTCGTCCAGGATCTTGACCGCAAATGACTTGGTGGAATTGAGTGGAGGGGAGCCCCCGTCCCGCGCCACGATTGTCACATTGTATTCGTCCTGTGTCTCGCGGTCCAGCGGGCGGTCAGTCACTACCGTATAGAAGTTGTCATAGTTCTCCTCAAGCTTGAAAGGGACGGAACCCCCGGGACCTCCCAGGCCCCCGCCGCCGCCGGTCCCTCCTCCGCCCAGGACCCGACACTGCAGCTGCCCGTTCTTGCCCGAGTCTCGGTCAGTGACCCGCACGAGGGCGATGACTGTGCCGGGAGGGGCGGCCTCGCTCAGCGCCCCCTGGCGAACGGAGACGAAACCAATGGACGGCGCGTTGTCGTTTCGGTCGATGAGTTTGACGGTGACCTTGCAGTGGGCTGGGATAGGGTTAGGCCCCAGGTCTCGAGCCTGCACGTCAATCTCCAGCATCCCATTTTCCTCATAGTCCAGGTTGCCTTTAACACGGATTAGGCCGGTCTTGGGGTCAATGGAGAAGAGCTCCCGCACGCGGTCGGGCACGTAGCTGCTGAAGGAATAGATCACTTCACCGTTGGGACCCTCGTCAGCATCAGTGGCGTTCAGATCGATAACCACGGTGCCCAGTGGGGCGTTCTCGGGCAGTTCCACCAGGTAGGAGGGTGCCTCGAAGACCGGGCTGTTGTCGTTTGAGTCAATCACCTTCACGTTGATCTGCACGGTGGCAGAGCGTGGCGGCTCACCGCCATCCAGGGCAGTCAGTACAAGCGTGTGGTGGTTCTGTTGCTCGCGGTCTAGCGCCTTCTGTATGACCAGCTCCGGGAACTTCGTGCCGTCTCCGCGGGACTTGACGTCCAGTGCAAAGAGGCCATGGTCGTCGCGAGTGAGCAGATAGGTGCGGAGCCCGTTCTCTCCCGCATCAGGGTCATGTGCGCTGGTGAGGGGGAAACGGGTGCCAGGGGCCGCGTTTTCTGAGATGTCCATTTCGATCTGGTCCGAAGGGAAGGAGGGCGCATTGTCGTTGATGTCCTGGATCTCTACCTTGATCATACAGATCTCCTTGTCGTTGGCGAACACCTCGAGGGATAGCTGGCACTTGGCGTTGTGGCGGCACAAGGACTCGCGGTCGATGCGCTGCTTGGTGTAGAGGAGCCCGCTGTCTGCGTCCACGTCCAGCAGGTGCGGCGCCGAATTCTCCAGCACCCGGTAGCTACCCGACTTGCTGCGCCCGCCGCCGCCCCGCTCAGCAGGCGGAAGCCCTGGCTGCAGTCGAGCATCCTTGCCAATGTTACCGATCACCGTGCCGGCCCCTTGCTCCTCCGGCACGGAGTAGTTGAGGTTTTTGAGAGTCAGGGCAGGGGCCCAGAGAAGAAAGCAGCAACAGATGGAAAGGTACATCCCCGATCGGTGGGGTGGGGGCAGGAGCAGCCGGACTGGAGCGGCGAGCGAGTGAGTGCGCGCCAGCCTGGGGCCCCGGCGCAGCGTGCGCGCAAGATGCGAGACACAAGTCTGTGGGTCCTTCCTTCCCTCCGCACTCGGGCTGCGGCACCAGGCAGTCTCTCTTTATTCCGCTCAAGTTCCCCGAACCTGTTGATCTACAGCCTCCGCACTGGGCGACGAGATGAGGTGCAGCGGAGCTGCAGGGGCTCGGAGCAAGGCGGCGGCTCCCTGCGGCTGGGGGCGAGCCCGCGGTTTTGTGTCTCTCGCCTGGACTTGAGGAGGCTCAAACTTGAGTGATGAGACTGGCGATAAGAAGGAAATCACGTCTGGGAGGGATGATAATGAGCTAAAGAATCGGTAGGTTTTCCTCACTCCCGCTAGGGTGCTGCAAATCCACTCCCGCCCGGAGCCTCCGGAATACTCTTCACATCGAGTGGGGGAGGGTGCGGGGAGGTGTGTCTCCAGGCAGATCCGAAAGTGAAATCCTTACTTGCTACTCTTCTTCCGTGATGAAATTGATGGGGGTGAAGAGCAATGAAAAGAGAGTCACATATATTTTGAAGCTTCCTCGGCACCCCGTGAAATGTCTGCTTGCCGCGCGGGCTAGTCTGTTTTCAGGCAGTGTTTTGCTGCATTTAGAGATCTAATCTTGCATTGCTGGCTGAGGCAGCGGCGGCGGCGGACTGCATCTACCAGCCAAACGTATTTTCTCTCTCTCTCTCCTTTCCGAGCAGCCAAAGGGAGGGAGGAAATGCAGCGTAAAGAACTAGTGTCCCGATTTGTAGTTTCCTCTCCCCACCAGGCTCCTCCCTCTCTTCCTCGGAAAAGGCTCTCCCCCGAAATCAAGAAAGCCACAGCCTGATCAGCATTTGCTGTGTGAGTCTATTGGGAGGGGGGAAATACATAGATATATCTTCGCCTCTATTCGTAGAACACACTGCGATTTCTCTACGCCAAACCAGTAGCCACCGCTACCATCCCATCCCCTCCCCGTGAGCAAGGACTTCTCTCCATGCAGTTTAATTCCAGTTTGCTTTTCTTCCCAGGCGAAAGGAAATCAACAGGCAACTCATGGTTGGACGTGCAGATCTGAAGGGGGAGGGGAAGGCGGAATAAAAAGGAAGGGGGAGCCACCCCACAGTCTTCGCACACACACTCTCCCTGTCTCTCGCTAGAAGGGAAACAGTCTCTGCATTCACTGGGCTGGGCTGTCAAGTGCCTCTCTTTTCTTTCTATTCATCATCTCCTTCCAATAGCCCTGCCTCCCAGTCCTCTTCATCTAGAAAGGAAAACCTTGGCGAGGAATAAAAGTGGTGAATATTTGAAGCAAATAAAGTGCGGGTTTTTTTTTTCTTCCCCCTTCAATTTTTTTTTTTTTTATAGTAGGAGGAGTGGGCTGGATGAAAGAAACATATCAAGGTTTGGCGTGATGCATTCTGCAGTCTCGCTCTCGCACAGTCTCTCTGGGCGACTCGGGGAGGGCAGGGGGCGAGGAGATGTGGCCGTGGCGGTTCGGCCCCGGGGCGTCCTCCCCGGGGATATACCTCCGAGGGGATGTTAGGCGCAGGTCTGTCTGCACATTATTTCGGGCTCCCGAGACGCCTGGACATACGGGAATGACACATCCAGAAATGCAGGTGTTCCGATCTGCCGGATGAGTCAGAAGCAGCGGAACGAATCGTATTCACTCTCGCCTCATGGTCCTCCCTTCACAGATATTAGTTGCGGCTTCTTCCTAACGCTTTCTCTGACTCACTCTATGGAAAGGAAAACCAGATTCATGTTTGGGGAGGAAAAAAAAAGATAAAAAGCGAGAGAGAGGGAGGGAAGGAGGAAGGTGAAGCTGAATCCAGCAGCACTTTTTACTCTACCTCTTTCTGCCGGAGTCCGAGGCTCTGGAAAAACAGGCGTCTGCTTTGCTAGGTGTATTTATTGATTTATTTATTTTGAAAAACCTTTCGTCTTGGTGAGGCGTGAGGCACCCCCAAATCTCTCAGAGTCCTGGAAAAAATAACAAAAATCAGGTTTCCAGTAATTGTTCCCAGTTTAGCCTCACATCCCAGTTCGAGGTTCTTTCCTCTCAATGTTCTCTATTCACAAAGTCCAGCATCGGTAGTGTACAGTTAATTGTGCAGTCTGTTGTGGAGTTTTTTTTTTTTCTCTCTCTCTCTCTTTAATTCCTTCTTTTCTGTCACGGGTGGTCCCTTTCAATCTGGTTCCTGTCAGGATCACCCCACAGTCTGAGGAAGATGCGCGGATTTCAAAGCAAATAAATCCATCTCCGCCAGCAAAGCCGCGAGGAAAGGAAAAGGTGAAAATTCAATTCAACAGTTGGAGTAGCGTCTCCCCAGCCGCCCTCCGCCGCTGCCGCATCCGCCGGGCTCGCAATCCCTGCTCTCTCCCTAGCGTCTCTCGCTGACTGACTCTATTCACCTCACGCCGCCGCTTAAACATTGATACTGATTCCCTGCCAGCCAATCCGGGTGAGGAGCAAGGCCCTGCCTCCTCGGCCCGCGCCCAATGGGAGGCGGAGAAGCGGCTGGCGGGGGCGGGGCCAGGAGTCCCAGCTCTTCGTAGTCATTGATTAGATCAGTTAGATGGGAGCCCGGCCGGGCTGGCCGAGTTGCAGCGCTCCGCCGAGGCAGCGGCGCCCGGGGCCTGGCCGCCGGGTCTCCTGGGTCTATTAACTACCGGGGGTGGTAACTCTTCCACTGTGTTCCGACGGAAAAGAGAATTTTTTTTAAAAAAAAGTTTTGACAGACGAATTTATTTATTTTGGGTCCTCTATACACAGGAACGGGAATCGCAGCGTACTTGCAGAATAAGGTAGCTGCGGTCTTCCCAGTGTTTTTCTGCACACACACACACACACACACACACACACACACACACAGAGGCGCGCACGCACGCGCTGCCACGGCACACACACACCCATGCCAAGGGAAGCGCAGATCTGACGCCGCATGGACCCGTCTGGAGGAGGTGCGGGGGACGTGTGTGGTGTGTGTGTGGTGTGTGTGTGGTGTGTGTGTGTGAGTGTGTGTGTGTGTGTGTGTGTGTGTGCGTGAGCGCGTGTCTGCAGACCGTGAGATGTGTATTCGGCGAGGGTGTGTGAATCCGAGGGCGCTCCTGAGCCCGTTCTGCCCGCGCTGGTACAAACACGCCGCGAGCAACGGCAATCAATATGTAACTTTCTTCATCCTCAGAGAAAAATCAGCTGTCCCCAGGCACCCATGCAAGGAAAGTCACTTAATTATGAAAGTGTTTCAGAAGAAAAGCAGACGTCCACTGAAAGGCCCTACCTCCTCAGAGGAAAAGAGTCTCTGCTTTGAGAAGAAAGGCTCGCTGTCAAAACAGGCTTGGTAGCTTGTTAAAAAAAAAAAAAAAAAAAAAAAACAACCCTCAAATCTGGCTAAATAATACTTAACGTTCTACCCTTTTTTCTGTCGTCCTCCTCCACCAAAACAGCCCGGGTGCAAGGTAAAGCGGACGCCCACACACACACACACACACACACACACAATAGTTTTGGTGTTTTGTTCACCTCCATTCTTGTTGAAGTTTCACATGGCAATTTGAATTTTGTCTCCTTAAAACCAAATAACCATTGATAACCACATTTGCCAAAGCTCCTTTGCATGGAAACTGAACAGTAAAAAGTGGAAGCATATCAGGAGGAGATTTAAGATTCCTGTTTTGTAAGTAACACCACACACACATACACACACCCCACACTCCTGATTCATCCACTTCTCCAATTTCAGTTACTAATCTCAGAGATTCTTTCTTCCTAAACTATAATCACAAACATCTGCAAGTGGAGACCGGTTTCCTCGTGATCCAGCCATTCTGGGAAAGAGTTAAGAACAAAAAAGAAAATTGAAATATTGAAATAGAAAAGGTGAGTGTTTTGATTGCTAGATTATTGATTGCAATTCATAAATACTGAAGTTAAGTTGCCATTTATAAATTGTGAATGACTAACGTACAAGTCTGTAACATGAATCATTCAGGATTCAAAGAAAATCAAATCCAGACCAATTACAAGAAAGTTCTGAAAATTGTTGTTGGGATAATTGCTTAAAGATTCAGGTAAAGGAGCTATTTATTTCATGGAGGATTCAATGAGATAACCTATTGCTTGAATTTGCAGTCTGATCTGTATCCAAAATTTATCACTCCCTTAAGAGACTCTAACAGTTTAAAAATTCAAAGACAAGCTCTTTTCAGCCAGACCTTCAAATCCTAAAGTGTCTTTGTATTTTCTAAATAAGTAGTTTGTCATGCATATACTATTGCTAAACAGAGAAGATAGAGCTTTGTAGAAGCCTGGGTTGTTTTGCTGAGTGTGTGCTTAACCAGGCTGCCTTGGAAAACCCCAGCCTTATATCTCTTTAGTATCTCTGTCCCAACATGTACCTCAAAAGCTGAGGCTTTGAGGTTTTAAAAGCAGCAGCTAACTTAAATAAAGAGTAGTGATTACACAGTCATTTATTAATCATTACTTTTCAGATGCAACAAATTTGGCTTTTTTGCATTACATACTTTTTTGCATTACATATGACTTTCAAGGAAAGTCATAAAATATCCTTAAGGTTTACCATAAGGCAAAAACAAGAGAATGAAAAAAATTCCAAGGGAAAGGTATTATGGTTTATTGGTTAGTTTGATTTATATGTGCTGTTATACAATTTAGGGGCGATTAGAAAGAAAAGACAAAGTGATGTGAAAATACATCCTCATAAGATATAAATTTGCTTACCACCCCTCCAGAGTAATTATGTCATACCGCCCCCTAGTGTATGGAAAAAGAACTACCATGTTTTAGCAAATACCCCACGGTGTTTGCAAAGAGCAGAAGTATATTAGTTATCTTATTTGTATTTTATTTAATCTGTAGTATTAAATTCTGTTGTCCAAGACTGACATAGATCTAAAATAACTGATTTTAATTTTATGTCTCATACTTTATTTTTAACGGAAATGGAATCAACTGATATCTCATTTCCAATAGTTTGGCTTCCCTTTAACCAGCCATGATTGATAACCACTCTTAATTTTTAATCATTTCATAAGATCTATCTTTTTTTCCCCAAATAGGGTTTTTGGCTTACAATAAAGTTGTTCAGGAATATCTTTTTTTCTATGCTTAAAATATTAAACTTAATTTAAAAAGAGAGAGATGATATAAATATGGTTAAACAGTTCAAAAATCTCATTGTTTTTTATATCATACAAGGCTATGGACATATAACATCAAGTTAAAGAATCTAGAAGAACTTAGTGTTGTGCATAACTAAGGATACATAAAATTTCACATTTCTCAAAAAAAGGCTGATTGATAATCATTATTTATAATTACCAATGATAGTCTCAACCTTGAATTAAAATTATATCTTTTTAATACACATAGTTGAACACCTAAAGATCTTGTGAGATTATTTGAAATATGTGTATGCACAGTCATTGAGAGAAAGTATTTGGAAATACATATAAATATAACATTTAATTAATACAATGTGCTAGTCTAGGTGTGTTTTAAAGGTAAATTGATTATTATGTTGGAATAGCTTCAAAGGGAGAAATATTAAAGTATATATTTATAGACTGATAAAGAATGATTAATACTGCTATATTACTCCAGTAATTGAATTAATAGCACCCTTATTAAGGAATAATCTTAAAGATGCTATTTTATGGAATTTTATATAATTTAAGTTATTGAATTTTGCCTCAGAGAGACTCTTTAAACTACATATTTACTAATTGTAGTTGTAATTCTGAGTTTATACATGCAGTCATAATGCCAGCAGTTCAGCATTCTTTAGCAACTTGTCCTGCTTGCTGATTCTTTTTTTTTTTTTTGTTTCCACTTCTGTGTGAGTATTCTTGAGTTAAATAAAATACGGTTATTAAGAGAAATTTTTGATGCTAATGTTTTCAACACATTGTTTATATGAATAAAAAATGCTCTCTCCGTTGTTTCCTTCTCTATCATTTTTGCCATTAATTTCCTGCTTGATTTCATATATTTTTATTTGTTAACAGAGAACTTTCAAAATAAATGTGACAGCTAAGTTGTTTTAAATATAATTAGTATTAAAGGTTTCCATATCACATTTAAATTCTCAACTGAATAATAGTATTTTATTAATAGCCAGTTCCCTTAGTTGCCATTGTCTTTTAGAGGAATTTGTGGCTCACCTCTAATACACAGCCATTGACCATTTATTGACTTTTAATCAAAGCTTTACCTTTTAATGAATGAGAAATCCATATTACTAACAGGACAATTGTTAAAACACATCTTTCTCCTTAATGAAAAATATGAATTGTCATAAAAGCAATGTGACTTAAACAGAATTTTTAAAATTCAGGGAAAATGCTGTCATTTAAAAAAATTTTGAGAACTCAATCTCTCCTACATAAAAACAAAATAAAAAATTGTCAAATATTTATATAAGTAAATAGTATTTTAAATAGAATATTAAACTTTTCTAATTTTTACTAAAATTGTGAAATATGTATATTAGAAAAATATTTGTCAGAAAAATAATATATTTTAATGTTCTTCTATATTATGTGTATGTCATGATATGTAATGCTATGATGACATATCCCTATTTATGTGCCCTCCTCCCTAGTACAAGAAGTGTGCTATCAATGAACACTCAAGATAAAATTACAGGATTAACCCTACAAAGTCATGCACATTATATCTGCAAGGACTTAATTCATAATTCACACAATAAATAAACTAAGTTCACAACTGATAGCTATGTATTTTACATACATTTCTAAATTGGTAAGACAAAGGAAACATTCATAAATTAGTAACCAGTGATCAACTCTTGAACAGTGACCTATATTTCAGGACATATATTCTGAAGTATTAGACGAATTTAAAATCTAATTTAAGATTTTTAGATTTAAGTTTATAATTGAATATTATTTAGGTTATTTAGTTTGATTTTTAAAAAGTATGTGTGTATAGATAAACTAGACTAGACCACACACAGAAAAGAATTGTCAGACCAAAAAGTATATCTATTAGACTATCTCTGATGTCTTAGTACATATTAAGAAGAGATGTTAGATTATGTTATGCAAAATGTAACTCTGAGAAGAATTATCTTGAACTTCATAAATTCCAAATGCCATATTTATATCCATTCCTGACTTATCAGCCAGGAATAAAAGGGTTCAATTCATTAATCAACCTCAACTCTCCTGCCCCATAAGAAGTTACGTGCTAGCTCCCCCTTGTGGTCACTTTAACAATAAAGAGAGACATTCGGGCATTTGGGAAATTGCTTCATAGGAAAATTAGGTTTGCTTAATCTGTATATTACTTCTTAAAACAAATGAAAAGCTTACGAATGAAATCGTTAATTTATAGATGTGGCTGCTGGATCATGG